TTGGCTGTGATTTCGCAGGTGCCGCGACTAATATAAGCAAGTTAGTATTTTCGAGTGAACCGTACATCTTAAAGTAGGCTGACTGTTTATTCAGAGACTGATGACTCAAAAAATGACAGCCGCCTGCAACCAGCTATACGGCTCGGTCAGCAAGTTCAAACTTTGCTTAAGGACCTCGGGTGGCACAAAGACCTGTCGTCCGTGCTGAATGCTACAATGACATCGAGGCGTAGATTCCCACAAATGAGGTGGGCTTGTCTGAGTGTTTCGCTTTGGTTCTCATGTTGCTCTTCACAACCGGAGTACCTCATGCACCCTTCCGCACCTTCGCTATCCTCTCACGCAGCTACCTGCAGCGTCTCCAACCAACGAAGACTGTCATATCCTCAACCTTGGCGTCTCAAAACAGATCCCATGTCGTATAGCCGCGATAACTGCGCCTCTTACCCCCTATCGCGGCAAGTTGCAGCCTTCAGGCAATGAGTCCGCATGGATGCGACAACAAATTCATGTGACAGTAGAGTATTTGGCTCCATTGACGGTACTCTGACAGAGTCATTCAAGGGCCGGCATTCTGTTGTTTATGCGACAAAACCAGTACTCACACGTACATTGCATACTTAGACGATCCATGCTACATCGAGCTTGACCCCTCCAGCCTCGCCATGATACCCACGAGTTCAATAAAATATTCATCTGTAGAACTTTGGTGGCATAACGTCTACCCACCACTGCGGCTCTCTGCCCATGAACTTGGTGAGTTCATCAACCTGTTTCTGAGTAGGACGCTGATGATAACTATCCGGCTGGTCGCTGAAGATGTACAACACGCAGACAGCATCGTCTTCCATGCATTCCACAGGAACTATCTGTCCGGGAGGTAGAATTGCTAGAGAGGTCGATAGCGAATGGATGTGGAAAGTTTTTTGGAAGCTGTAGCTAGGGTCTGCATGGGCATTGGTCCTGGCCATGGTTTCGGAAAAGTCGGGATGTAGCTCGGCGAGGAAGGAACGAGCCGTGTCATAAAGCCACTTCTCAGATACGTAGTAGCCATACATCTGACGGTTGCGTTGTGGGGGTGGAAGGGTTATATTGATACGTTTTCGTTTAAACCGTTTGGTAAGTCCAGAATCCCGCTGTTGGTCTTGCTTGGCTTCATCAAGCTGAGCAAGAGCAATTGAGAGGGATATGAACACCAACACCTGGACGCACCTGCATGCCAGACATTACTCCATCGAGGCTTTGGGATGATTGTTGCGGCATTTGTTCGAGTTAACGGGGCGGATGTTCGGAGTTGTGCAGCTGAGGTCGGAGTTAGTTTTGTTAGATATGATAGGAGTCGATGGAATTTGAAGTGTCTGTCGCGGTTGCCCATCCAGCCCTCGATGCTCTCTCGGCGGCCTGTATTTTCACCTGGAGTCAATTTGCCAACCAAACTTTCAAGAATAAAGTACTTGTATCCAGCAGTACTGGTCAATGTTTCTTTCACGCTGGCAAGATCATACATGAAACTTTTCAGAATATCTGCCAGGATGCAACAAACCGTAGCTCGTGCGGCCTCCAGCCCATTTCGCCCATTCGCGAGTGAGCGATCTCGGGCTGCAAGTTCGAGCATCCTGACGCTGTCCAAATCTAACTTCGAGGTAAGACCTAGTCAAGAGCAGACCTTCAAGCACAAAGCTAGGACACTTCGACACAACTTCACCAGTTGCAGGTTGATCTGGTGGTATCACGATGTATCATCACTGTAGGATTTCCAGTCCACATCGACGTCGGTTCGACCATTTAAGAATGCCACGATCCTGAATGGGCGATTCCTGATGTAAGTACTCGTTTTGAGCAGGAGAGGGTGGAGATAGGCACGGCGAGACGCTCGTGGCGTCAACAAAGAGATGGCCAGTGACTCAGATGGCAAGGAAGAACTGCAGCAGAACTTACTCGTTTGGAGATCTTCGGGATAGCGGATCGTCTATGAAATTTCGACGCAAACTTGACACCAGCGAGTTCTCATGGAGCCACGTCTAGAGATATCGAGTTGCTATGGAACATTATATTTCTCCGTCGGACGCATAGCGGATGCATGTTTTGGATCGTGGTGTTGTTGGCAGAAGTCGGGAGTTTTGCCAAGAGAGTGAGGGCGATTGAACCGGTGGACTGGCGCGGCCGACAATGAGCCTGCCTACGGCAGACGGAAGTTCGTGTGGCCTCAACCTGATCATAGATGCTACCTGCGACAATGCCCAAAAGCTCTACTCCTACTGACTACTAAAGCTGCGCAAAAAGGGTGGCAAACACCCGTCTGCACCACTCCCAGCTGGAGGGGTACCCCACTCCACCGGTCTGGCAAAACTGGTTGTGCTTGGCCCACAGCCGAACTCACGCGAAGGAGGGTGGCGGCAGAACCTGGCAGAACTTCGGGGTACCAGAGATATAATTTCATACAGCCTACACAGCCTAGAGTTCTGCCGGTTATGACCAGAAGAACTGACCCTTGGGCAAGTAGTTCTGCCTTCTACATGCACTATTTTTGGGCCGACCCTCCTTTACTGCCTGTACATAAAAGCGAAGAGATAACTTTCAGTTCAGTAACAAAGAAAATCATCCAGCCCTATCCTGAAGCGCAACAATGAAGTTCACCCCACTCACCACTATGATTATGTCTGCCGCAGTACTCGCGGACATCGCTACAGCGAAAGGGTCGTCATCTCCTGCCGGTGGTGCGTGCGCCCATCCTGGTAAAGCATACTTGTATTTTGATATCAGACTGCGTACTTACGGGCGCTTGCAGGACAGTATGAGTGCGGAAATGCCGCGGATTATAATGGGGGAAATGCATTTTTGTTTCAATGTTCAAAATCTGGTGTTATCGAGCCAGAAATTAAAAAGTGCAATTGTCCGGTTGCTGTGAAGTCTTCAATGGAGGTGTAGCTCCCAATGGGTACACGAGATGCTCATAAGAGGAAAACGTGGGCTCACTTCTTGCTTGCCGTGTCAATAGTTACAGCTGTCTCTGTAGGGTAACATCCTCAAGACCCACTTTAGTGGGAGAGAGTTCTGTAGAAAATAAACTAGCAGCTACCCGTCACTTGGTTACCAGGTACCGTATGAGGGCGTCGTGCTAGATACACCACCATCAGCGATTTGTGGCCGAATGAAGATCATAAACCCGTTTGTGAGGTCATTGAAGATGCCGCTATAGGATATCTGTCCACGAGGGTGTTGCCTCTCAAGCAGAAGTAACGTCATCAAGGACGATGCGCTGAAGGAAGAGGAGAATTGGGGATAGAATAGGACAGCCCAATCAGACTCCAACTACACGATTCAGTGAAAGTGAAACGGACCATTTACGATTCCACCAAAAGGGTTTTCGTGGTAGGTCTGCTCGAGAGTGCGTAGGTCCAGGTGCAAGTTCATGAAGTCATAGATCCACAAAGCTACCATTAAGATAAGAGATAGCCACGGCGAGACACTCGTGGCGTCAACTAAGATACAGCCAGTAACTCGGCGGCAAGGAAGAACTGCAACTTGAATAGAACTTACTCATTTGGAGATTGTCGGGAAAGCGGATCGTCTCTACGAAATTTCGACGCGAACTTGATACCAGCGAGTTCTCATGAAGCCACGTCTAGAGATATTGCGTTGCAATGAAGCATTGTATTACTCCGTGTCAAACGTCTCAGAATCGAGCGCGACTCAAACACAACCAATATTGACCTGAATGCCCAGAGAAAAGACCATTGGTGAGCACTAATACATAACTAATACTAAATAATACCTGAGAGAAAACGCCAGCACGACGTTAGAAAGAAAAGGAGGAATCAGCAAGCTTTGACTAAGTACAAGCGTGCGTACACAATAAGTCTCGTGACCGAAATGCGAAATGTTTATGACACTCCGTCGGACGCATAGCAAATGCATGTTGGAGTAGGGGACCCCTAGGCAGAGGGTGAGAGCGGAGGAGAGTTTGGCGGTGTTTGAGCCGGGGTTAGCCGAGGAGAGAGTCGCTAGAGCCTCCGGAGGCAGTAGCAGTCTTCAGGTCTTCGTTGTCCTTCGATAGCAGAGTCTTCGGGCATACCCCCTCCAACTGGTGAACAGAGCGAGTTCGCCTCGACCAAAGCTTCGCATTGGTCATCCCCCTTCGAGCCCAGAGGTCCAGAGTCCAGAGTCCAGAGTCCAGAGTTTAGGGTTCAAAGCCCAAAGTTTAGAGTCCAGATGCAGAAAAGAAGACGCCTTGTGGAATACACGAGCAGACGATCTGAACAATCAAGTTCAAATGGGTCAAGAAACACGAAGAGAGCACGCTGAAAAGCATAGCATTTTTAGTTTTGACTGGAAAAATACACTAATGACGAGCCAACCCCCTTAGCCAAAACTGCCTAAAAGAAAGGAATTACCACCTAGAGGACCCAAGGGGCAGTTCATACCCAAAGCCCTCCAGGACACCAATAATTCTAGCAGCGCATTTACTTTGTTGGCCTTGTCTCCACTCGACACACTGTCACAACCCTTTTAACGAATTAACGCAGGGGCAGAGACTAGGACTCAAACAAAGGTTATCGCAACAGAAAAGAGAATATGAGCAGGGACGTCTTAGGATTGCTAGCAGTAAGCTAATACAAAAGAGGTTTGAACTAAAGAACTACTGACTACACACGAGCTACCTATATACATATATTGAAACGGAGAATGAATCTGAGTCTGAACTAACTAGCCAATCATTAAATAGAAAAGAGAATCATACGATGATCTAAATATAACTACACCTATGATGTCATGAAACGTGTGACGGCTGTACAAGGGTTCTCGAAGGTTCTAGAGTCGCGTGACTTGATCGCTTGAGTAAGGAAGTCGAAATCAGGAATGTCGGAGATAAAGGTAGTGGGCGCTAATGGAATAGAGAAGTTCGGATATGTAAAGGATGGTTCGGGTTAGGGTTTGCAAAGGTTATCGGTACAGACGCTGACTGAGCGCTAACGACAGGCGCTTGTGATGGGCGCTTAACAGGTGATTTACGAGTGTTCAAGAAAGAATAATGGTTTGTATTTGGAATTCGTGACACACACCAGAGATCGACGAAAGGCAACTCAACCAAGATGAAGAAGAACCAGAACACCGGGACACTTCGGATCGCGAAGTTAACAGGTACATAAGGCAAGACGACGAGGATTCATTAACGGGTGCACCAGAACTACGAACAACACTTCTCCCAGCTTTCCAGTGGGACACGGGAGTGCTGCCATTCATCCAAGTGACAACAAAGTCAAAGACGGTACCCAAACAGATTCAACAGACCGTTGTTGCAATGTCAGCGTCTACAGGCAATGTCCCACCTGCATTTCATGGGCGCGACGATGAAAACTCAGCAGGTTTCATGAGGAGCCTTGAATGATACATTGTTGTCAACCATGTCACAGACGAGGCAACGAAGATCCTACTATTCAGCACACTCATCTCTGCAGGTTCAGAGGCGGACGTATGGTGGATGAACCTAGACCCACAAGAGAAGAGCACATGGGCAAAGTCAAGGCTGCCTTTCAAACGAAATGGCCAGCAATAGTTGCGGTGAAGAAAACACAAAGGGAGTACCAGAAAGAACTGATGGAGCTACGGCTCAAAGAGGAAGACGTCGGGGAGCGCGTCATGGTAGCGGGGATTTCGACATGGGCGCATACCCAATTCCACAACAAGCTAAAGACCCTTGTAAAGGATGCTGGAGTAGAGAGTATACCTATCCTAATCCAGCCAGTTCGCAAAGCGCTCCCTCAAGCACTGAGAGACCTCACATCAGTAGCGCTGGCTGACTGGAGTGCCTTCCTTAACGAAATCAACAACGTCAATATCGATACGTTACAGGAGAAAGCGAAGAGGGTGAAAGAGAGGAAGGAAGCAGAGAAAGCCCAGAACGCACGCATTGCACGATTGGAGAACCAACAAGATCCTATCGAAGTCCTACACTTACAAATGCAGCAAACATCAATTGGAACTAATGTGCGGAACTCAGAAGTGAGGACGCCTCAGAGAACCACGGGAAATGCACCTGCAGATGCAACAACAGCAAGAAGGCCAGTGCGATATGTTGCAGCCAACCAAGGGCAAACCAACCAACGTCCTAGAGGGCAACCGCCCACACAGGAAGAGTGAGACACACTATGCAACTGCATTAATGAACTGCAGCACCACGCAGACTCAGACGAGGGACAAGTGGCATATAGGGAACAGCTGAGACGCTGGGCAGCGAGATGGGGAGAAGGAGCTAGATGCACCGAGAAGACGCCCTACCCACTAACACCTGGAACAGCACAAATCTGTTCGGGCGAGTGTTTCAGATGTGGCACGCATGGGCATATTGGACCAATGTGCCCCCTTCCAGCAAACGCGCAACTACCAAAGAACAAGAGCATGTGGCGAAGCGCTTGCACACGGATTCTCGGCACATTCAACAGGATCTCGGCTCCACAAATCAACTTTGTCATAGATGAGACTATAGATCAGGGAAAAGAGAATGGGTCGTTGGCATAGAGGATAGCCGAACAACCCGAGAACAATTAGTACCTCAAATGTCTGGACAAGCGGTCCTCGTGTGCGAGAAGGAGACACACGAGGACCAACATACCTTCCCCATCGAACACATTCATCCTACAAATCATGTTGTTATGCAGCCTGCTAGCAAACAATGCGACATTATTGACCTGTACTCGATGGATAAGGAAGGAACACACTGGAGTTGCCAACCCTTCCTGCACTATATCTCATTCGCAGGACCAAAAGGAGAGATCGTACAAGTCAAAGCGCTCTTCGACGAAGGCGCAATGGTTAGCGCAATGTGTACGACGGTCTTCGACAACATCAAGCATCGCTTAGGGAATTGGAAAGCATCAGCCAAGAGATTAAGAATGGCTAACGGCTCACTAGTCCCGTCAAAAGGAACATGGAAGGGTGAAGTCACGATAGCGGGAGTTGATGCACAAGGAGAGTTCGAGGTCTTTGACAGTGGAGGAGGATGGAGGTTCTTACTCGGGAAACCAATGCTACAGGCATTTAAAGCTACACATGAGTATGAAACTGACACAGTTAATATAACAGGAAACAGGATCTCGACGACCATTACCAACCAGAATGAGGCTCAGGAGACCATAACAACGCAAGATGCACCAACAGAACCACTGGACAGTAATGATGAAGCCCCGTACCACACCACGCCAGCGAACTTCCTCAATAACAACACCGACACTTTCACAAGAACCACGGATCCCAAAAATCCAAGAAGGGTGGCATACATCGTAAAATCAGTACAAATAGGAGATGATCTCAGTCCCGAAGAGTGAGAAAAAGTTAAGGAACTCGTATCCCAATATGCTGATATCTTTGCGTGTTCGTTATCAGAGGTATTACCAGTCCCAGGAGCAAAACATCGACTCAACATACCTCAAGATGCCACGTTCCATACACGAGTCCATCAAAAGGCTCTAACACCGCCTCAGACCCAGTTCCTACATAAGAAGATCGACGAGATGTTAGCGGCAGGCATTATAGAGAAGGCACCTCCCGAAGCAGTCAAGTGTTGCGCCACGACAGTACTTGCCCAGAAGGCGCACGAACAAGGTGGACTGACACTTGAAGAGTTACAGCATCGGGTCAACAAACAGTGTACGCAGCACAGGAAGCCACCAGCGTTCACACTACCAGAATGAGACATCGAAACGGAGGCACCAGAGCTACCATCAGCGCCGCAGAAATGGTGTATATGTCAGAATTTCAACGAAGTAAACAAACACATGATGATCGCACCGATGCCCCAAGGAGACATAAGAGCAAAACAACAACAACTAAGCGGGCATAGGTACGTCTCGGTGTTTGATTTCGCTTTGGGATTCTACGCTGTCAAGATACCACAGGAATCACGGCCATATACAGCATTCTATGCCGAAGGAAGGGGATATTTTTGGTATAAGAGGATGCCAATGGGCCTTACAGGAGCACCATCTACATTTTGCGAAATGACAGCTAACCACTTACATGATTTATTAGCAAATAGCACAATGGAGCTCTTTGTAGATGACGGAGGATGCGCGGATAATATGTTCGACGGGATGCTGAAAAAACTAGAACAGATCTTTCAAAGATGCTGAGAATGCAAATTATCATTATCTCCAACAAAGTGTCGTCTATTTATGACAAAGACCACGTTTGCAGGAGCTACTGTAGGACCAAAAGGAGTTCAACCAGACTTAGAGAAGCTCACCACTATTGTTAACTGGAAGCAAACCCGCTGACACGCTTAATCTAGAATCCTTCCTAGGACTAACAAGTCATTTCCGGGACTTAATACAAGCGTATGCTCGGCGAGAAGGACCATTACGAGATCTAGTTAAGGCAGCACCACTCAAGATACCATACTTGAAAACCACTTATCGACGCACCTTGCGGGACTTCAAACTCGATGAACGCTGGACAGAAGCGCACACAGCAGCATTCCTGGACCTAAAAGCAGCCCTAGTGGCGAGACCCATCTTACAAGCGCAGAAATACGATGGATCCAATTTTGTAGTCACGTCAGACGGATGCCAGGAAGGATTCGCAGCGGTACTAAGTCAAAGAGTACGGTTACAGAAACCATCGGGTAAATGGACAGAGTGCCTGCTTCCAATCGGCTTCGCATCCAAACGCACATCAAGGGCAGAACAGAAATACAAACCATTTATTCTCGAGTTTGCGGCGCTGAAGTTCGGACTCGACAAGTTCACAGATATCATCTGGGGATTCCCTACAGAAATAGAAACAGATTGCCAGGCCCTACGAGACGTCTGATGAGCGAACAGCTCAATGCAGCACACGCAAGGTGGAGAGACAGAATCATAGCACACAAGATCGTGGATGTGCGCCACGTTCCAGGCAAGCTAAATGTTATCGCAGATGGACTCAGTCGACAGTGGGAAGGTCAACCAAGAGATGCAGGACTAAACGACGGAAGTGAATGGACAGTCAGTGAAGACTGGGAAGCGAATTCAGGGCTAACCAATGACATCCTACTCACCGATTCAGTAACCCAACAGAAACCGGTAAGTCCGTTACAGGAAAGATTTGCTAACGAGCCGGTTTTTCTAGAAGTCGTGGAATTGATATTAGGAATGGACGCAATGCGGCCGTTACGCGACCCGGAAGAGAGCAATGCATAGAGCATCGCAATACCTAATAGAGGATGGTAAGTTATGGCGCTTACGAGGAGGAACAGCAGTGTGAGCTCGTAGCAGAGTAGAGTGCATTACCAAAGAAGAAGCGAAACAATTAGCAAAGGAACAACATGAAAATAAAGGGCACTGGGGAAGCGACGCTATCAAAATCGCACTAACTGACCAAATCTATAGCGCCGGACTCAACGCATCGATTCTAGAAGCAATAGGAAACTGCGCTAAGTGTAAAAATTTTGGAACCCAACATTTGCACTCACTTTTAGAACCAATAACCCGCAGACACCCGTTTGAGTTGCTAGTCGGCGACTATTTAACGCTCCCAAAAGGAAGAGGATACCACACTCTAGGCGTCTACCTCGATACCTTCTCACAACACGTTTGGGTCTTCAAGTACAAATCAGTGGGGACAGCATGCACCACAATCGATAGCTTATCCAAGATATTTTATAACTTCACCTCCTCGGAAACCTTCATGAGTGATGGAGGGAGACACTTCAATAACATAGAAGTTCAAAACTATTGCGCTAAGTGGTCTTGCAAAACTCATATTGTGGCGGCATACTCACCATGGGTCAATGGACTGGTAGAAGGTACAAATAAGATCCTGCTACACGTACTCAAGAGATTGTGCGCACCAAATCTCGGCGAAGATGACTACGAAGTGATCTCATGGGACAAGTTACCGAAAACATGGCCAGATCACCTAGAAGAAGTGGTAGTAGCATTGAACCACCGCATATTACCAGCATTGAAGTTTTCGCCGAAGGAGCTATTACTAGGCCAAGTAATCAACACCCCACGAACCGACCTAGCTAACTGCACTTCAGCGTTACATCTGTCAGACGCCAACATTCATATGGCATATGTTGCACAACAACACCTCGACGGTTATGAAGCTACAGTCCAGCATGCTGTAAAGAGGAAAGCTGCATTTGATAAGAGGTACTAGCCCGCTCACCAAGGGAAGTCATATTCTCAGCAGGACAGCTCGTTCAATTCTTTTACAGCAACCAGCACAACACACTTGAAGCAAGACGCAAAGTGATACCGAAATGGTCCCCCCCACACCGCATAATCGAATGAATACAGAACTCATACCACCTGGAAACAATTAACGGCGAGCCATTACCAGGCAAATTCCATGTGCGAAGATTAAGGGCGTTCCACCCAAGAGAAGGCACAAAGCTAGCTGAGGAACAGAAAAGAAGAGAGTCAGAGCTATAGAACGAAGAAGATAGAGACGCAATCGAGAAAACAACAGCAATGAAAACGGCCAAGACCAGCGTGTAGATGAAGAAAAAGACGAAGAAGATGCAGAAACAACAGAAGAAGAAGAGGAGAGGCGAGGAAGAAGATGAAGATGAAGACGAGGAGGAAGATGAAGAATAAAAACAAGCAGAGGTGTTAGCGACGAGGACGTCGCTGTTTTCAAGGGGGGGCACATGGAGTAGGGGACCCCTAGGCAGAGGGTGAGAGCGGAGGAGAGTTTGGTGGTGTTTGAGCCGGGGTTAGCCGAGGAGAGAGTTGCTAGAGCCTCCGGATGCAGTAGCAGTCTTCAGGTCTTCATTGTCCTTCGATAGCAGAGTCTTCGGGCATAGCCCACTCCAATGTTTTGGCCCATAGTGTTGTTGGCAGAACTCGGGAGTTTTTCCAAGAGAGTGAGGGCGGTTGAACCGGTCTGGCAAAACTGGTTGTGCTTAGCCCATGGCAGAACTCATCCGAAGGGAATGCGGCGCCAGAATCTGGTAGAACTCCAGGGTTTCTGCCAGTTCTGCCAGTTGTCACCAGAAGAACTTAGCCTTGGCAAGTAGTTCTGTCCCTACAATAGTTTTAGGGCTGACCCCCCTTCAATGCCTGTGTATAAAAGCGAAGTGATAACTTTCAGTTCAATAACAAATAACACCATCCAGCCCTATCCTAACTTGAAAGTGCAGCAATGAAGTTCATCTCACTCACAACTATGATTATGTCTGCCGCAGTACTGGTGGCTGCTGGCGGTCCATGCTACGTGCCTGGTGAATACCTTCAGCGTACCTGTGACTGCGTACTTACGGGTGCTTGCAGGATCTTGGGCGTGCGGAAAACTCCAGGATTATAATGGGAACAAACCGTTTTTGTATTACTGTTCGCCACCCGGGTTATATCTCGAAGGTATTAAACCTTGCAGCTGTGCAAACTGCTGTTCCGTCACCAGTGGAGGTGTGGGTCCCAATGGGCACACCAGTTGCACATAAGAGGAAAAGGTGAGCCATGTTAATAATGACTCGTGACAAAACTTACAGCTGTCTCTGTAGACTGTAGGTGGTACCTGTGGGAGAGAGTTCTGTAGAAAATAAATGTCCTGTCTGTAATTTTTGCATGGAAACCATACCAGGTGCTGTGTCTGATGCTATCATTTCTCCTCGGTCATACTTTGAATTCGCAAGTGGCGTTCCATTGATGCTCGATTGAATTTGTTTATACCACGCCCGTCGTAAAGTCGTATCGTCCTTAGCCCAACGGATGAGCTCACAGACACTGCAGTACAATGACGAAAGGAATTCGTAGACAGGTCATCCTTGGACATGCAGCATTTTCTCAAGAGGACGAGGACACTCTTGACGTTGAGCTCGCCTTGGACAACGCTAACATCACACACGATGGTCATAATTGTAAGCAAAGTTCTCCCGAAATGGGAATTTTCACATCTTCTCACTCGCTTTAAGTTAGCTCCTCCCTTCATGTTCGCCCGGGCCTGTAAGGACTATAAGTCCTTAAGGCCCCGACCACACTTCAAAAGTAAGACGCTCGAACCATACATTCGGAGTCGTCCACATGAGTCACTGATGCGATGAGTGACACTCATCGCATACATTCTCCTTTCAACTTAATGTTCAGTACCTTCCTTACTTTCTGATCACACCATCTGTTCATTTCTTGAGTATTTTCACTTTGACTCAGAGTATTTTCATTTCGAGATCGAGTATTTTCACGCTGCGTCCGGTGTGGACAATTATATTGGCGCTAGGCATGTATACCTGCATAAGCCTTCAATAGGTGGACCAAAGCTAGACCTCATATCATTCACTATTCCCCTATACACGGTCTTCAATTGTCTCAGCTATAATCCTTGTCCGACGCTATTCCGCACTTTCCCGCACTATGCGCGCACATTCCTGCAGCGCTATTCATGTTCCCACGACTTATCCTGCGCTATTCCCGCGCTTATAGCGCTGTTGGAACTACCAGCAATGTGTCTATAGGAGCATTAGTGCATGTCCACTCTATCTAGTGCTTGTTCCTGCGCCTAGCGCTAGTCCAGCGCGCTGTTCTCGTGCTCTAGGAATCACCCCGAAATGTCGGAATCCATCCATGGTCCATCCTACCTCATTGGTATGTAATTTGCCTTGCCTCAAGTTTGTAAAAAGTGCTACAGTCTTATTACATGTATATCCTATCCCTTCCAAGTCCGAGATGGTATAGTTTACTAGTATAAGAAGCCTATGGTGACTACTTTGACATTACTTCCCTTCAACTGTATTTCCTTTCCCTTAGGTTTTACTTAGAAGTAGTCACCCTTTAGTTGCGCTCTATGGCCCCTATTTGACTTTCCTTACCCTTGCAATCAATACCCTTGATCTCACTCGCTATCCAGCACCCTCCTTTGACTCAGTGTCCGCTTTCTTGACTTCCGCTCTTTCCCGCGCATTAGCGCTCTATCTTGCAATGCGCTATTCCCCGCGCTTTAGCGCTCTTTCGGGTCTTTTGATCTTGAGTTGTTCTTAGTAGCTTTTCCCTCGGGTCAAATGTTCTTGCATCTTTGTTGCAAGTATAGCAGCATAGGCAGAGCATTAGACATATACTGGCTGAGTACCTTAACAAGTGCCTAGTCAGGTTGTGTTTTTCACACCGGCTCAACAAGTATTCAGACTGTATATATACTGCCTATGTACACTCATACCTTAGCAGAATCTTACACACTGAATTCTTGCTCCAACCAGACAGAACTCCCCTCAGAAAGTTCCACTATCTGAACGCTACACATTTCAGTTGACTCTACACCTGCCCTATACACTTGCTGACATTCCCATTTGGATCCAGTCCCCTTCTTACTCAGTATGAGCCTTACAGGGCCTCTCCCCTTATTTCAATTGCGAGTACTCTTTTTACACTTCAGCTTTCTTATTTGATTTGATTTTGCTTTTTTCACTCATCTCGACCATTGATTTTCATCGACTTCTCAACCTTTGTTACTCCTGCTCGTTGCTACTAGTACTGGCCTGGGACACTTCCAAATGTTAACGTTTTAACCTTCGACTCCAAACACTATCATAACACGAATGCTCACACAACTCTCTGGCCTCTCTTTTGCTACCTCCTCTGGCAGGCATAACGACGGAGCATGCGAGCGCAGAATATCATGAGAAGGTGCGTTCGTTCGTTTTACACCTTGTCTAAGCACGTTTAATCTGATGATCTTAACGTGTATCTATGCATCTTACTGTACATCTAATCATCATACTCGCAAGTCCTGTACCTATGCATCCAACCATCTCATCCAACCCCAACAAAGGCCAATCAAGCATCTGCAATCTGCTCCGCCACTGTCCTCCAACCAGGTGACCTTGTATGTGTCCACAGCTAACATCTCATCTTAGTCCCGTGCATGCTCAAGAATGCGATGCATTCTGGTGCTGTGAGTTGCATGGCTGGAGAGAGTGGTGGTGATGTGTAAGTGTTTTTTTGAACGACGACGGCAAGAGTACTGATATACTACACCACAGGATCATTGGTCTTTTCGTACATACGCCTTTCCAGTTCGGAGATGTTGAGGCATTTACTGCGTACACCCTCTCTTCCCCGCTCTCTGTAATACTCACCGACAATACCAAAGAGCACGGTAACATAGAGCTCGTGTCTCCGGAAAATGTTTGCACGACTGCTGTTGGACATAGTAGCAGGCGAATGCATTCGAATGATGACGCCCAAGGGGTGGCGGAAGATTGGTTTCAGAGACACCTCAGGGGGAGGAATTCCTGGGAGGTGCCACAGAGACTCACAAGACTTGCCGCAGGAAATTACATTCAAATTTGTCCAGTACCCAAACCCGCCCGCATGATGGTTTCCCGTTTCCTGGTGGTTGTGACAGTTTTACTTTGAAGCTGGACACACTTGAGGGGTGGGGCTGAGTCTGCTTCTCTAACTTACTTTCAATGTGACAACTTTGCTCAAAGTACTCCTCACTCACAGGCGTCTCGTTTGTCTTGACGATCTAGAGTACATTGAGCGGAACTCAAAGTCGAGCGACAATGTTTTGAAAGGTTTCGAAGTCCCATGGGACCAAATTGATAGCCGTGAGATAGCTTACTCAGCAGATACGCTTGTTTGTTATTCTGAGCAAGCCGAGGCACAAGGATAGCGCAGAATTTAGTCTACGCATGAGAATAGTAAGGTGGTGCAATGTACCTTGTTCTGACCCACGTCGGAAGACAAGTGTACTGCATCAGTAGTCGTTTTCTCATTGTTTTCTCCATCTATTCCTATCGTTCTTTGCATAATAATCCTCTGCGATGCCTCCCCTAATGGGAAACCCCAATCATGCAATCGCCTCCAATTTTCAATTATTAGAGCATGTGGAAGCTTGAGCCCAACTTGTAAACGACGCAATCGATGATCAGCAAGCAGCAGCAATCCTAGCTAACCTATGGCACATCCAAAATGAAGCTGACAAGCGTCAATGGGCAGCCAGAATCGAAGCCAAAGCTTGAGAAGCAGAAGCCCAGCGCAGAGAAGAAGCCAAAGAAGAAGCCCAACGCCAACAAATGCTAAGGGAAGAACAAGAGGCTGCAATTCAAGAGGAACACAAGAAGAATAAAGCCAAGTACACCCCAATCAAAGACATTAATGTTCCTTCCAACCCCATCATCCTCCCATGTCAATATGCTGTCCGGAAAATGAAATCAGGCAACTACTGCGAACTATTCTACTTCACAAACAGTGGTCTAGAAGAGGCCTCCCGCTCCACCTTCACAGCTGATGAAGATGCTTTAGTGATGCTACCCACTTCAGACGGTCTAAATAAATGGATCCCAGCCGCCGCTGCCAGGGATCCCAAAGCTCAAATCATCAAGGACGAGAACCTGACCTGGGAGCAGTTTAATGAGGCAGCCCCGCACATGGTATCTTTGATGAAAGAGAACGACTGGCCTGATGACAGAACCAACATGTTCATCTCCTTCTGGTCCGTGCTGCAGAACCACAGATGGGGCCATGACTTTGATATTCACAAACAGAGAGTAGTTGCTGTTGTATCAAGCGCAACAACGAAAGCAATGGCACCTTGCCATGGGTAGCTCCAATAGCTGGAGTTTAGCAAGGATCAATCAAGACCTGCTAAACGAAGCGCATGAGACCATCTTCAACCAGTTCAGAACCCAACAGATGTCCTTTCAGGTACGTTCGCTTCCAACAACTGTGCAGAAACCTACTCACTAAACATCACTCCCTTTCCTTCTCTTAATCGCACTCTTCTCATTACCTACAACACCCCCCCCCCCCCTATGCGGCGTTTGGCATCATGTCCAAACTACTGCGCCACTCCCGCGGACAACATGTTCTGCACCCTCTTTGATCATCGGACAACATGTTCCGCACCCCCCCCCCCCCACATTCTTTGGACAACATGTTCCATCATCCACCACCTATGCGGTCGGACAATGCGTTCCCTACCACCGCCATCTTTCCAAACACCCCAGCCATCATGCGCCTCGCTCCATCGGGTTAACCCCCCCCTTTTCTTTTCCTGGTCATCGCATGCTTACAAACCCCCACTGGCTATCACATGCCGATTTTCCCACCCTCTGTGCACTGGAATCTCCTTCCCCTCTGCCGTTTATCCCCGCCTCTAGTCCCGTTTGTTGACGACAACAGGACCAAGCAGAACCCAACAACAGCATGCTTGCTCCGCTAGCAGCCAAAAACGCTCCCCTCCTACTTCACCAGAAGGAAGGTTCAACAAGAAACCTAGAATGTACAGAGATCCTAACGTGCCCCTCCCATGCTGCGCCATATGTCTCGGACGCAACCCTCACCGCACCATTGAGTGCGCTGCTAAGCTCACCTGGGATGGTAAGCACAACACCATCACCGAACGAGTCCACAAAGCACTCTGGACCAAGGAAGGGAAACAACTATGTACTGCCTGGCAACGAGAGGAAGGCTGTGATAGTACTAGACACGACTCCCGCCACATATGCTCCGGCAGCCGTGGTTGTAGTATTTGACCTACAATACATGGTAATGGCCACTTTAACCATAGACACTTTCATTGGCAACTGCCAGTCCGCTCTTTTGACCTATGCTGTGGCACTTGCCAGGTCCCCTATTTGGCTGTATGTCCTGGCTTTCACAGCCGCATTTTTGGTATTTTTGAAACTCAGCTGTTTGTCATTCCAGGATACATTCCACATTTGGTGATGGATGTATTTATATGTTATGACCGCAATTTGGCTTCCAAAAGCGGAAATTCACAAAAACACATCCCATTTTGGTCACCTACTGATATCAGGCCTCCCCACATTATTCCCACACTCCGCATATCGCATTTTGCAGCCACACAGTGTGGGAATTACCCCACAACACCCAAAACATCGCCCAATATGGTACACCCCACAATTATAATTATTCACACACCCTCCACACCTTGCTGCAGCTTCACCACTACACCACAATAGCTCCCCATGCATATATAAGTAGTATTTTAGTATATATATGTATAGTATAATATAATAGACCGCTTTTTTTGTCTATTTGTGTGCCTGCTCCTCCTCCAGGGAGTATTCAGAATAGCCTAGGGTACAGAACACTTTCGCACTTTTGCCCCTTTGATAGGGAAGTGCTCTATGGTATTCAGAACATATTTTTGAGTATATATGAAGATATTCCCATCTTTATTTGGCCCCTTGAGGCGCCCTACATCAATAGATATAGCATATATACACAAATACACAAATATGTTCCCATGTGTTTATTTCTATGTGAATAGACTTGGAAAATTTATCCCCAGCATCTATTCAACAATATGAACAATGTATGAGAAGCCCTGGACCATAGAGCAAGACCCTGTGATGCAGTATACCTGCCCTCTCCTGGTGGTTCACCCCCTGTGAAAATTTTTTCTGTAGGACCGGACCTTCAGGATGTTAGGGAGTCTATTTCTATGCATATTTAGAGTATATCTACCACTTAGCTGCTCCAGAATATCAACATGGTCCTTCTACAGGAACAAAAAGACACAAAATCGCATTTTTGACATTTTTGATATATTTCAGTATCTTACCCTTGCATACATAGTCCACCTTGCTCATTTATCATCAGTAGTACATATATAAATGTGTTTGATGCCCAGGATCAGCTCACAATAGGCCGCAGTTTTGAGGTAGTGCATATACTTGCTATTTCTACTGATAAGGGGCCTATACCTTCAGAACATCGAGATTTGATAATCAGACACCTGGAACACATTTTAGATATACTCAGTATCATAGATCTACATTTACTAAACGATCCAACAAGAATTGAGTGCTGGGGCAGTGAAATAGATAAGAATTTGAGTGTGGGAAAATCAAAGAACCAAAACATCGAAAATGGTCAGTTGAGTAGTGGTAGGACTTTAATGCTGCTTCAACTTACTTTACCACCACATCCCTTCTACATCTCTTCTACCCTCAGGGCAAAGTGTAGTTTAGGTTCCTTATGTAATTTAACATGTATGCTATTAAATTTAATGAAATCTTCGACCTATATCACATGTAAGTGTGACTTTTGTGTAATATGTGTTAATTGTCACTTTTACACATATGTTCCTTTGCTTCCCTTTCACTCAATTCTTGTTGGATCGTTTAGTAAATGTAGATCTATGATACTGAGTATATCTAAAATGTGTTCCAGGTGTCTGATTATCAAATCTCGATGTTCTGAAGGTATAGGCCCCTTATCAGTAGAAATAGCAAGTATATGCACTACCTCAAAACTGCGGCCTATTGTGAGCTGATCCTGGGCATCAAACACATTTATATATGTACTACTGATGATAAATGAGCAAGGTGGACTATGTATGCAAGGGTAAGATACTGAAATATATCAAAAATGTCAAAAATGCGATTTTGTGTCTTTTTGTTCCTGTAGAAGGACCATGTTGATATTCTGGAGCAGCTAAGTGGTAGATATACTCTAAATATGCATAGAAATAGACTCCCTAACATCCTGAAGGTCCGGTCCTACAGAAAAAATTTTCACAGGGGGTGAACCACCAGGAGAGGGCAGGTATACTGCATCACAGGGTCTTGCTCTATGGTCCAGGGCTTCTCATACATTGTTCATATTGTTGAATAGATGCTGGGGATAAATTTTCCAAGTCTATTCACATAGAAATAAACACATGGGAACATATTTGTGTATTTGTGTATATATGCTATATCTATTGATGTAGGGCGCCTCAAGGGGCCAAATAAAGATGGGAATATCTTCATATATACTCAAAAATATGTTCTGAATACCATAGAGCACTTCCCTATCAAAGGGGCAAAAGTGCGAAAGTGTTCTGTACCCTAGGCTATTCTGAATACTCCCTGGAGGAGGAGCAGGCACACAAATAGACAAAAAAAGCGGTCTATTATATTATACTATACATATATATACTAAAATACTACTTATATATGCATGGGGAGCTATTGTGGTGTAGTGGTGAAGCTGCAGCAAGGTGTGGAGGGTGTGTGAATAATTATAATTGTGGGGGTGTACCATATTGGGCGATGTTTTTGGGTGTTGTGGGTAATTCCCACACTGTGTGGCTGCAAAATGCGATATGCGGAGTGTGGGAATAATGTGGGGAGGCCTGATATCAGTAGGTGACCAAAATGGGATGTGTTTTTGTGAATTTCCGCTTTTGGAAGCCAAAATTGCGGTCATAACATATAAATACATCCATCACCAAATGTGGAATGTATCCTGGAATGACAAACAGCTGAGTTTCAAAAATACCAAAAATGCGGCTGTGAAAGCCAGGACATACAGCCAAATAGGGGCCTGGCAAGTGCCACAGCATAGGTCAAAAGAGCGGACTGGCAGTTGCCAATGAAAGTGTCTATGGATACAGTGGTAGTTACCAAAATACTAGGTCAAATACTACAGCCAAGGGTGGCTCCGGCTGTGGTGCTGTTACTCACAGAGCCCAACACTGCCCTAGGGCACAGAAAGTCTAACCCTATCACACCTTACAAGGCCGAAGCCTGGAACAGAGAACTACACCGCTTTAACCTCCTACCCGCGTTTTGCGAAAGTTCCAGAAGGTTTCCGTTATGGTTTCAATTTAAATTTTCCCACTATTTCATCTACACAGATCCCTCCTAATAAGCAATCTGTATACACGTACAAAGACCAATTTGATACCAGCATACTAAAAGAACTACAGAAATCCCACTATCTAGGCCCCTTCACCGCTAATACACTTTTAAGTCTCATCGGCCCTTTCCAATCTTCCCCCCTTTCCATTATCCCCAAACCTGGCAAGCCGGGGTAAATTCAGATTAATACAAAACTTCTCGTTTCCCACACTCCTTTGACCCGCAGTTTCCCAACCCCTCTATCAATTCTCACATCAATGCTACTGATTTCCCCACCACCTGGGGTAAATTCTCAGTTATTTACCTACTCATTCGAGACTCCCCCCCAGGTTCGGAAGCCGCGACCTGCGATGTTGCAGAAGCTTACCGAACCATACCCCTACACCCATCCCAATGGCCTGCTGCCGTAGTACGAGTTTCGGCTACCGAATTCTGTGTGGACACTTGCACGGCCTTCAGAGCCACACCATCAGCAGGCGCCTATGGCCATGTAGCTGATTCTGGTGCCCGAGATCCTCCGACACCGGGGCATCAGACCCCTAGACAAATGGGTCGACGACCACATTTTCTTTCGGATCCAAAAAGAATTCATAAGCGATTACAATAGAGAATGAGCCGAACGACACAAAGATCTAGCCAAGAAAGGCATGCATCAAACTGGAAGCAGAATATGGTTTGGTGGTCACATTTTCGACGACGGTTCAATAGAGGAACTCAGTGAAAATTGCTCTCAACCCATCAGAGACCTCTCCAGCATCTCACCAAAGTCGATCAGCTTTTCAGCTACAGCCTACAAGACATAGATGATGTCTCTACCAACCCTTGGAATTTTTTGGCAACCCAAGAAGGACCAACCTTTGCCACATGCACTATCTACATCGGCTTCCTATGGGACCTTCACCTCCGCATAGTATCGCTTAGCAAACCCAAAGTCAAAAAATATCTCATGGCCATTCACACTGGAGAAAAAAAGCCCCCCATACATTACAGGAAGCGCTAGAGCCTACGGCAAGCTAATGCATGAATGCGCAGCAGTCAAAAGGGGTAGAGCTTACCTACTAGTCTCGAACGCACAATCACCATATGCCATGAAAAACCCCAATGCCCTACCAACCAGATAAAGAAGTTGAAACCAGACCTCAACTGGTGGACAGAACCTCTTACAATCAGGCAGTTGTCTCACGCCCAATCTACCCACCCATACCTTTCTCAGTTCCCGCAAGCCTTTTCAGACGCCAGTTCAGGCATCGGAATAGGCATCATCATTGGAACTATTGGCGAGCCTGGAGGCTTATACCAGGCTGGCAGACAGCCAACAATGCAAAGAGAGACATTGGATGGGCCGAAGCAATCGGCTTCGAACTACTGGTCCGCACTCTCGCCCTATCCCTGGCATTAGCGACAACATCATCGTCTACGGCGATAACACAGGAGTGGTTGAAGGATGGTGGAAGGGATGTCACCGCAACAAAGCCCGTCAACAATGTTTTCAAACGCATCCCTGAATTCATTCTCTCTCTACCCAGACGTTTCGAAATCCGTACAGAATACGTCCCCAGCGAGTCAAACCCAGCGACCATCCCTCCAGAGGACCAATATGGGCCTGAACACCTTCTACTCCCTGCAACACACATTCCCCCACCAGATCCAAGACTCCCATTGTCGACACAACTGCCCCTCTCACCCCCACAGAGTTCACCTATTCCGAGACCGGAAGTACTCCTCTCCAACAGCCAAGCTCATCAACCGTACCCTCATCCATCAACAAGCGCTGAATGAGCTAGAGCCTGCCAAGCAGAAGAAGACCAAGTCATTTTCAATGCCATCTCAGAATAACGTGGCCACCTCCCGCACCCGTTTAAAACACATCATTAGCGTCGAACCATCAACTCAACCCAAGCCTACCCCTCCCCTCAACAATACAAAACTGACTCACCCCTTACCCTCCCCTCTAAGACCACATTGTCTTGCTCGCAAAAGACTTCAGGAAATGGACGCCATTCAGGTGGCAACGCACGTCTTGCCTCCATCAACTCACCGAACCTGACCATAATGGATGAACAAGTTGACCGAATCCTCAAAGTCATAGGATCTTCAGGGCGCAGTCCACCAAAGAGACTTATGGGACAGGCCTATTAGTATTCCATGTATATTGTGATTCCCTGAAAAATACCAGAAGATCAGCAATGTCCAGTTTCCCCCAACTCTCCTTCTAGCTTTCCTGTCCAGATGTGCAGGATCATACTCTGGTACAGTGCTCGCAAACTACACAGCTGGCGTAAAAGCATGGCACCTGTTACACAGCTACCCATGGTTAGTAAACACTAAAGAACTTAAGCCACACTAGACGGAGCTGCAGCGCTCGCTCCAGAATCTTCCAAATGCTTGAAATGCAAACCCCTTCACTGTCAATATCCTTTCCACCATTCATGCGCACCTTAACCTTAATGACCACCGCGATGCCACCATATTCGCATGCTTGACCACGACATTTTACGCCATAGCGAGATTAGGAGAGTTCACCGTCCCTACAATCAAATCCTTAGCCCCGCCAAGCACATCACTCGCAGCAATGTATCCATTACCGTCGATTGTAATGGTTTACACCCGTCACGAAATTCCACATCCCGAGCACAAAAAAGCATCCCCGCTAGAAGGAGAAGACGCCTTTTGGGCAGCACGGGAAGGCCCCTCAGACCCAAAAGCCGCCCTAGAAAACCATCTCCGAGTCAATCTGGCAGAAAATAACACTCACCTGTTCGCCTGGAAACATCCCAAAGGGTATCAGACCTCTCTCCAAGAAAGAACTAATGAAGAGACTCACATCTATCGCCCAATCAAACAACATCCCCGACATCAAAGGTCATGGTCTTCGAATTGGAGGAACACTTGAATATTTGCTAAGAGGAATCCCTTTTGACGTCGTTAAATCAATGGGAAGATGGTCGAGTGATGTGTTCACAATATACCTTCAAGATCATGCGGTCGTCATTGCTCCATATATCCAAGCACGATCACCTGTGCTAGAAACCGTTCCCCCCCCGCCAAGCCATGCCACCAGTGCGCTAAAGCATTTTCCTAGGTGAGTACAGCTCCTATTTATACAGGCCATCAAGCTTCGCAGTTCGCGTCGCAACTCTCCTACAGTTATGGGATCACAGCTCACCTTGAAACCTTTAGGTTTGGACTCATACACCGGGCCAAAAAGCCCTGTGGGCTTTTACCCAAACTCTTTCTCTACTCAACCATATATTTAGCCACCCGCACACCAAAAGCGTAGAATCATTTTTCCACTTCTGCCAGTAAGTATCTCCTGAGACTTAACATGTCTGAAGTCAATTTTGACTGCATACATTCTCCCAGTCGTTAGCTTCAAGCTTCCTGCTTTCCCTCCCTCACTGATTCCAGCACGATCATATCCAATGAGTGTCCAACAACCTCAATAGTCTTGGGAGGCCCGTTTATGTTCGGTAGATAGAATATGAACTTTGAAGTCAGTGCGATATGCATGCTGCAAAACATTGTTACGAAGTTGAGGAGATCAACAAGTAACTGGGTCAGATGGGTCCTCTGCAGAATTGAGGTCAGCAGCTTTCTTTCGTTGAGCTTGTAGTTTTCGGGACAATCATTTACAATATTAATGATATTGGGGATTTCGTTTTTAAAAAATGTGTTCACGTTTGGTGTCAACACTGCTTCTGCCAATCAAGATGGAATCTATCTTATCATCGACAACGAAAATGAATTTGCGCATTCCCTTCATCTCTTTGCTAATATGTATGTGACTTCTCTTTGTCCTCATATTTTTACTCAATTATTTATCTATCATATAAGACTTACAACCCCTTCCTGATGGCACTCGCGCCTTTCCAACGGTCATCATAGCAGGTAAATTTCGCACAGTACCTTTTCAGTCAAGCAGGAAAATGGATTCGATATGGATGTCTCAGCATGGATGACCTGCAATTCACGGCATTTGTGGATCAGATTGGAGAAGACTGCTCCGGAAGTCAACCGAATCTCGCACTCATAACAGCAACCACAGGCTTCGACAACATCATTGGTCTCCTCTTCCCGTCACATGTTCTCGAAGACGCTGAGACCAGTCTTCATCGTGCATCCCTTTCCCCTCTGTTGATGAATTTAACGTCGAAATTCTGGACAAATTGCAAGCGCGATGTTCGTAAGTATTGTGAACAGATAATGGTCACACATTACACTTACAAGACCATAACATTGAATCTCCTTTCAGTTACTCCATTAAACGCACCAGAACACACCTCCAACTACCTTGTGATGTGAACCCATCATGGAGTACTTCCTCATCGCCTGGATCTCGAACCAAACTGGATTTGCGTCATTCAAGGAAAGCTCTCATAGAACAAGGATCAGTCAGAAACGCGCGTGTGCGCGTGGTTTGCACTGCATAGTGCAAGAGCAGGAAACAAGATATCTCCACAACTACTATGATAGAAAGCACTGGGGAGTAAGCCTAGCACTTGAATAGGGCTATGTCCAACATAGGGTCTCCGACCCTAAATTTGATCTAATATATGATATCATTTAGTAGAAGCAGAATTGTATCCTTCTGTAGTTTCCAGCTACATTATCAAGGAATGCATCCGTTCACTGATGCATGCTTCTAACGTTTGGGCCTGCCACTGCCAAAGGATAAGATGCCCATCCCCTTCTCACACTCTCACATTTTTCCCACTATTTTCTTCACACTGATCTACGACCACTCGCGATGAGTGAAGACCATAGGCTAGATTCTCCTCCAGGAGCCTCCAGATCCAGGCGGGCAAATGTTGTGAAAGCTCGGTATGTGGTCTCTGAAATCCATCGCTGCCCTTATGCATTTTTCATCCAGAACCAACCTTGTAGAGGAATCTGTCAGTCCCTGCGGAAATTGAAGAATATGTTAACCAAAAAACTTCCTGTGTGGGGACATGAATACTGACTGTCCTGAATATGGCTGATATTGTGCAGAAATGCTTCAAGCAATCAAGCAACCGCACCACTACGGTCCTAGAGTGTTGAAACCGAAGGGGCTTCATCGAGTCAGAAAGTCGAGGTAAGTGCTTGAACTTGCTATCCTAGTCCATCGATTTCCTTAGAGTCGCCCAGGACACGCTGCATCTTCATCCTTCCAACAACAACAAGCATCCTACCACATTTATTCCCAGCAATTCTATAAACCAAGGGCTGTTCGGAGAGCCTGCTTCACAGGTATTTTCCTCAAATACTTTGATTTTCTTCTCTAATTTCAGTGGTCCCACAGGTTCAGCCTGCTCCTCCTGGCGAGGAGGAAGGACCTAATCTCCAATTAGTGGATGCTGAACTTCAGGGTGCCAGTGATGGTACAGAAAGCATGAGACCGCTCAGGGGACATGCGACTTCCATGGCATCCGCCACCAACAAGGCCCCAGCGGGTCTCACTGCCGTGGATGATTTTGAGACGACATATCTCCAACACCTAAAGATTGTCGATGTTGTCCTTGAGAAGATCGTGGATGTATGGACCATTCTTGTTGATTTGGAATGAACTAATCAAGTTGTATAGGTATATCCATATGCAAGATGGCGCTGGGTGTGCTGTCCTGCTGCTTCCAAAGTACGTCCGGTTTCTCCCAGAGTCCAGTCTCACTCAGAAGTCATAATTCCATGTAGATTATAATCACTCAAGCAGAGTGCGACAAGTCAATCTGTAGTCTTCTCCAGAAATTGGCTGAAGTTTACCGCTTCATGACTCAAGATGACAGCCTTGTCAAAATTGAATCGATGCGCGGTATCGTTGGAAAGATCATTCAGCAGACTCTTGAGTGTGCCCGTTTCATCAGGGATTATTCAGAGACAAAGAGCTTTGTGAGTCACCAAGCTATCGCACTTCATACATGAATCTTATACTATCATCGCAGCGAAGAGAGTTGGCAAAAACATTATCTCAGAAACCGATGACATCATCAAACAGAACAGCGACACTTTGGACATTGTGGTGTTCAAGCTTGGGCTAGCCTCGCAGAACCCCATTTTGCTATAGGAGTCAAGCAGCCTAGATATCCACATCGCATCCATACAACCACTTCCTTGCAAAGTCTCGACTCACTCAACTCACCTATGTCGTGCCAGTCTATGTCCGACTCAGCCGATACGGATCCGTGGCCTCGGTCTCTCGCAGAAGAGCCAGGGTTGTCTTAACCGTCCCTTGCTCGTCGGATCGGCCATCGCGCACCTTGGCCGACCAGTTCCAGTCCCATCGGTACCAAATCCTCCCATTCCTACCCATGTCCACCTATCTCCATTGGTGCGTTTTAAGCTCATTTTACTGTTACTGAACGAACAGCAGGCATTATTACATGTATTCCCATGGCCGCAGCACTCGTGAGCCTTATTACATATCAACCTGAGTACCTCATGTTTCGCTACTTACTCTCGCCTGTGCGATTCCGGACGTTCACGCAGTTAGATAAATAGGACTCAAGTTCATATTATCCCTTACTTCCCTTCCTCAGACATACCTGGTACCGTTGTAGGAGTCACCTTAGTTAAATCCTTGATTGTGCAAATTAATCCCCCTTGCTTTTATCATCGGACGTGCCTTGACCGCTCTAAGTGCACTCTATCTAAGGTTTCTTTACCTAGGCCTCATGAGATCCGGACCGCTACCGGTAGTCTTACATCGGCAACCCATACCTAGTCTTACCTCGTCATACCTAGTTATACCTGGACTCTCCTTACCTCGGCCTAGACTTAAGTGCCGCTCATCGGCATCAGACTCCCCACCTCGCATCAGTGTGACAATCATACCAGCGCTAGGCGCGTATGAGTGCCATAGGCATATTTTGCCTTGCATAAAGGAAAAGAGCAAGGCGCTAGTCATCAGCACTATTCAACTCCCAAGCTATCTGCTTTGGAACTTCTTTTCTCCCATAGCGCTGTGACAATCATATTGGTGCTAGGCATGTATACCTGCATAAGCCTTCAATAGGTGGACCAAAGTTATCCCTCATATTATTCACTACTCCCCTATCAGCAGTCTTCACTTGTCTCAGCCATAACCCTTGTCCAACGCTATTCCGCACATTCCCACAGCGCTATTCATGCTCCTGCGACTTATCCGACGCTATTCCCGCGCTTATAGCGCTATCAGAACTACCAGCAATGTGTCTATAGGAGCATTAGTGCATGTCCGCTCTATCTAGTGCTTGTTCCCGCGCCTAGCGCTAGTCCAGCGCGCTGTTCTCGCGCTCTAGGAATCACCCGAAATGTCGGAATCCATCCATGGTCCATCCTACCTCATTGGTATGTAATTTGCCTTGCCTCAAGTTTGTAAAAGTGCTACAGTCTTATTACATGTATATCCTATCCCTTCCGAGTCCGAGATGGTATAGTTTACTAGTATAAGAAGCCTATGGTGACTACTTTGACATTACTTCCCTTGGACTGTATTTCCTTCCCTTAGGTTTTACTTAGAAGTAGTCACCCTCTAGTTGCACTCTATGGCCCCTATTTGACTTTCCCTTACCCTTGCAATCAATACCTCTGATCTCACTCGCTATCCATTACCCTCCTTTGACTCAGTGTCTGCTTTCTTGACTTCCGCGCTTTCCCACGCATTAGCGCTCTTTCAGGTCTTTTGATCTTGAGTTGTCCTTAGTAGCTTTTCCCTCGGGTCGAACGTTCCCGCACCCTTGTTGCAAGTATAGCAGCATAGGCAGAGCATTAGACATATACTGGCTGAGTACCTTAACAAGTGCCTAGTCAGGTTGTGTTTTTCACACCGTGTCAACGGTCGAGCTTGCGTCCAGCCTTATACATATAACAGAATACATAACTTCAGCACATACATATATAGTCATCTCATCTTCACAGGAGTGCATGTCTAAAAATGGCCGGCGGGAACGGCGGACTGGTGGAGGTACGCCTCACACCAGGGCATTTGTGACTCCAGAGATGCGACTGAGGACACTGGGGGTCCCATTAGACTAGCAAGTATTGTCCTACATAGAGCACCCTCTCAACAGACATGAATTGGATACCCAAAAAAAAAAATGAAGTGATCATTACGAGTGTCGGTTGGCATGATACAGCTTTCTTGGGCGGGAGGTGCGGTGCTTCGATGCTGCGAAATGCAGAGAAATCTGGCTCTCTGGACATAGAGGATGGCTGCACTTGCACCGCATCCAACAGCCGCACAGTGTTATCAATTGAACTGGACACGATGCAAGTACCATCTGGTGAGAACGAGACTGACAAAACCCCTCCAGTGTGCCCCTCCAATGGCTCACCCAATGGCTGTCCCGTCGCTGCATCCCACACCCACACAGTGTTATCCGCCGAACCAGATGCAATGTGAGTACCATCCGGTGAGAACGAGACTGACCAAACCACTCCAGTGTGCCCCTCCAAGGGCTCACCCAATGGCTGTCCCATTGCTGCATCCCACAGCCGCACAGTGTTATACTCCGAACCAGACGCGATGCGGAGTACTATCCTGTGAGAACGAGACTGACCAAACCTCACTAGTGTGTCCCTCCAAGGGCTCACCTAATGGCCGTCCTGTCGCTGCATCCCACAGCCGCACAGTGTTATCCCTTGAACCAGACGTGATGCAAGTACCATCTGGCGAGAATGAGACTGACTCAACCCCTCCAGTGTGCCCCTCCAAGGGCTCACCCAATGCCTGTCCCATCGCTGCATCCCACAGCCATATAGTGTTGTCCCAAGAACCAGACATGATGCGAGCACCATCCGGTGAGAACGAGACTGACCAAACCAGACCAGTGTGCCCACTGATTATGGTCTGAACAACTGCCCAGTTCAAATTACGGCCGGATGCCAGATGAAGATTATTTGGAGACCTTGCCATGAATTTGGTAGCCATGATGGAGTTGATGGGCGAGAATGGGAGCACTGATAAATATAGATGCGGCGTGCTGTGCAAAATCATGCCGCCAAACACTTGGAGGAATCTTTGTACATCCATCGTGGTGGTCCACAGATCTTCGTATGCAGAATGGCCCTATATTTATTTTATAAGTTGTTTATCCAACACTGCCTCGTAGGTGTGTGCTCACCTTCAGCCACTTGGCAATGAATGGGAGCACAATAATGGCACCCCTGATTGCATTGAGAAGTCCGAGTGCTTTGATCCAGAACAGCAGTCGCTCGTCGCCGAAGAATGATCTGATCGCCTTTGCAAGCTCATTGTCAAAGTCCGTTGTTTGAACATGCATAGCCCAGAATCGACAGGAATAAGAAAGATGTGGGGGAATGGATGCTTTGACTCGTTGAGACAGTCCAGTATCTTCGTGATTAGGGAGGAATGATGACTTTAAATCGCATAGTATTGAAGCGAAGGCCATGTTCCATCACTCGAAGTGATGCCAACGCTAAGTCGTGGTGTTGCGCCTTCGTCACCTCAACAAAAAAGTCTCCGCTGGATTGTTTGTCTGTGAGGAACTCTTGGAAGGATGCGTGAAGGGGTTTGACAGGGATATGTGAGCCCGTTGTACCACTGAGGAGGGATCCCATATGTTTCAAGATATCCATTTTGTAATGTTTGTTGTGGTTTGGAAAACAGTCCCGCATGGCATTGAGGGAATTGAAAGGGAGGGGTTCAGCTGTGCCGAGTATTTGTCCTATCACGGAATGAAAACCCTCTAGTGCTTCCTGGTATTCGATGTCGCTACACTGATCTCGTGGCCAGATATCTGCCAAAATCAGCCGATACATATCATACAACTTGTTTGTCCATTCCCCAGGATTGTGCTTCACGACAGTTTCAAAGCGAGACCTTGGGTTTAAGCCGGAAAGGCTTCCTTGAATGTATTCGCATGCAAGACGTGCCCACTCGAAAAGTCCATCGGCTTTCATAGTGAGGTTTACAAACTCTTTGTCCCCAAAACACGACAGCCCTTCTAGCTTGTCAGATACAAAAGTGCAGATGTCGCGCTCTGCCACTGCTGCTGGAATTTCATCCATGGATAATTGTAGAGTATGCTGAGCGCCGTGAAATGCATCTTCAATATCATAAAGTGGGCGAGAGGTAACAAGAACCCGAAAGTTAGATGGGAGTTCTGTGATTTGGGGAAGACCTTTGTCCCGAAGTTTCCTGGCAAGTATGCAGAGAAGGTCCCGCCGCGTCTCTGGTCCGCCGCTCTCGTCCAGCGCTTCGATCACGATCAAGACAGGTCCCACATTTGACCCAGAGGACTTCCGAAGTGGTTCCATGAGAAGCTTCTCCCACTGCTGGAAAATATCCTTCGAGTTCTTCAGTGAAGTGGAATCTTTGACCGCATCCGCCAATGCTCGTCTCATCTCCGGATTATGATCAGCTAGGTCATGAGTGATGGTGGAGAAAACATTTTCATGGCGATTCTTGGTCTTGTCGAAGCAGGAACATGAACCGAGCACCCTCATGTCACTGAACCACTTAGCAATCGTGTGAGTGATGGCTGATTTGCCCGTGCCTGCAGGGCCAGACAGCCACAGCACACGTTTAGTAGCATCATCACTGCCGTTGATCCAATCCGTAATCTGGGAGAGAATCTCCGTGCGCATCCCTGGTAGGCACTGTTTCATGGTATTTAGTCCTGCGCCCTTTGCATAAGCGATATCCCCAAGATCCAGGGTATCGCCTAAAATGATGTGAATGGATATAAAGAAAGAAGCGTGTCAGAATCCTTACTCGTTCGTTGGACGAAGACGGCAACGTCCCAATCAGTTTGGTCCCGGAATTGTCGCATAAGTACGTTGTGGTGAAAGAAATAGTAGTCAGCTAGATATACCAACTAACTTACTAAATCCTAATGGGTGCAAGTGCAGTACTTCGACCCAAGGGGACTGCTATTGAAGCACTTCCTTCTAATAGTGCGAGGGAAGAAAAAGGAAGAACTAAGATCTAAGACCTGAGATATCTGACTGACTGAAGGTCTGAGTCTGAGAATGTCCGATGTGATATGGGATACCGATGGTACACCCGACGCGAGATACCAATGTGAGATACCAATGCGAGATACCAATGTGAAAGAGAAATAG